GAGTGTTAAAGCCGTTGTATCTTTGGGGGCATTACGCACTGACCCGTTAGCACTACACGGGGCGTATTTGTCTTGCGGATAGATTTCAATCGCCTCGGCTTAAATCTCTCCGCGTTCTAGTTGTAATTTAAGTTTGTTTTTAGTTCTTTTGTACGAACTGAACAATTCAGTCAGTTCATAGGTCCCGTTGTAATACGAAACACACGTTGTTTAACATTATTAATATTTTTAACTATATATTATTATAGGTTCAAAGGCACCTGCAGCTTAGAATCGAAGCTCAAGGCAAGTACATGCAAACTATACTTGAAAAAGCGTGCCAAACACTCGCCGACGAGAACATGGCCGACGCAAACTTCAACAAGCCCATGAGCCTAGAGATCCAGCCCATTGGGCCCGGCCCAACAAACTTCCCTTCCTTCCAAGACCTCAACATATACGGAGGCCCAGACCAGCTAGACCTACACCACCAGAGCATAGACAGGTCATCGGCGAAAGTTTTCATAAGCGATGGGTTCTTGAGCGGCAAGAGGCCAAACAACGGCAACGGCAAGAGCCCGTTAATTTGGGCCGACTATCCATCGGCCGGCCCGTCTTGTTTGGATGATAGCGGCCCGGTCCAGATTAATAATTCCCTGATGGTCGACCATAGTGCCCGTAATGAAGAACCGGGCTTGGATATTTACGACACGAAGTCGTTTTTGGCAGGAGACCTTACGGTTGGAGACAAGAAGTTCGACATTTCTTCTAGGCCAGAGAGGCCGTCGGCCCATCGGGCCGCGGTTGGGTGATGAGTATTTTTTTTTAATAATTTTATTTTTGTTTGCATCTTCTTTAATTAATATATCATGTGTTTATGTTTGATATTATACTGCTAACTGATAACTGATAAGAATGTGTGTGAGAGATGATTTGGTGTTTTTTTTTCACTATATTTAATAGGACTCGAGTTCATCAACTTGTCGGGTATTTTTTTATGGTATATGTATGTATATTTTTATTTCATTTTTTATGAAATATAGTTAATTAATTATTTGAAAATTGCCTCTAATTAATCTCTATGGTATAATATTGTAAAAAGTAAATATCTTAATAAATTGTAGTATTATGAAATATATTTTGTTTATATTAGAGCTCTATGGTACGTACAAAATGTTGTAAAGGTAAAATTTTTATGTAAGAGGTAAAAATTTAAACCAGACGGCTCAACTCAGTTCGATTCTTCGTGTTAAAATTCGAACTCGAGCTTGTTTGAATATGAATTTGATTTTATTTGAAATGGTAACAAGTTATTCTAATTATAGCTTTTGGAGCACAAGCCTTTTTTAAGCTTCTTGAGCTTATAGCAACTAAAACTTTTCTACAAAAAATATTCAACAATCGAAATAGGTAAGTGTGACATTAGTAGAAGTAAGTGTTTGTTTCTTAGCTTCAAAACTAATTGGAATACATTAAAACTATTTAGACCATACAATTTTGCCATGCATACATCAACTTGTAAGGTAGCAATCCATAAATTTTCACATATAACCACTTTTTTTTTTTTTCCTTATCCTCAGAGCAGTATTTTAATCGATTTTTTTTACAGTTGAATCAATATACATGTTGACATCCGGATCGGTCAGGCCAAGATCGAATAGGTCGGCCCCCCCCCGAACCGAGCGGGACCGAACTCGCGGGGGCCGACCCGAATCGATAAATAATGTGTAGGACGGGTCGAAGGAAACGCTTCCCGAGCTCGGCGCCTGAACCCGTGGGGGCCGAGCCGGTCTCTCCCCGGGGCCGAGCTGGAAGGAAGTTCGCCTGGGACACGCGTGCTTTCGAAGAGAAAGAGCCGACCTTAACAGGCCAGAGCCGCCCTGCTAAAGAATAGCGCCGATCTGATCGTCATTAAATATTCGCCACTTGGGAGATCATCATTCGTTGATGGGACAGCATGTCACAGTCGTTCAGTCAGCATTAAATGCTGCCCATGCCTGCATTTAATGCTTAGCAAGCAATGATTGGGAAAACCTCAAATCGCATTAATGAACTGTCAGGGAGGCGCCGAACTGCTCTGCAAGTCTACTGTACGACAAAGACCGGTGAACAGTTCCTCATTTAAGAGTACTATAAATAGCAGCCCACCTCATTTATTTTGGGGTTGTTGAATTCACAACTAACTCAAGCTTTCCTTTACTTTCTCTCTCTAGTATTGTAAAGATTGTAAGAACTGTAAGAATATCACAGGAGCCGACCTCGTACGAGAGGCCGACCACGTGAACGTTTAATAAAAACCTATAATTAAACCTTATCCTGGCCTCATTCTCAGTCCTGTACTTTTCATTCACTTAATCTTAACCGTTGACTGAAAACACTCGTCAACAATACACACGAAGATGGAGGTACAGATTTTTTTTAACCATTGAACCAACACACACCAATATGGATGTGTGTGAGCGCGTATGATTTAATGATATGATCGAAATTACCCACAAAAAACTATAATTGTGATTCATTTCAAAATAATACCCAAAACAACATGACTATCGTTGTTAGGTTGTCTAACCACTATACATCTATAATAATAATAAAAAAAAATGGATTCTTATACTATGAGTGTGAAAGTATGATTAAGTATACATTTCATGTCGAAATATATTCGTCGAACAATTAGGCAATTTAACATTAGTATTTATTTAATAAATTATTATCATGTAAATTTCCATATTAGTATTTAGATTACAATTTTAACAAATGGCAATATTAAGAGATATTTGAGCTTATTACATATTACATCTAAATAACTTGAGAAATATATGTTTCAATCCAAAATAAATTAAAACTCAAGATTCTATTAACGAGAAAGGGAAATACGACGATTCTGTTACAGAATTGTAAGAAAGTGGGAAAAATATATGTTCTATATTATCCAAAAGACATGTACACATATATATAGGAACATAATGAGCCTAAATCTAATCCTACAATATATATACAAAATATATTATAACCATATATACAAAATATATTCTAACACCCCC